AGAAGGAAGGCACCTCTGAGGCTGCTACATGGAGGAAGGAAACACCAGAGAAAGATTTGCTTCATGAAGAAATGGTCTCACACTGATGATAATCTGGAAATTAAGCCATCAGCCAGATTAACAGGTAAAATAACCATAATTAACCCATAATTATAAATGTACTATTTAGAACTCAGCCGTATATAAGCCAAGTAGTAGTGAGAATATCAGGATACATTAGTGATACATTAGGAATGATGGTATACATTTTTTTTCTTTTATCTTTGCTATTTAATTTGCTTGACTTATTTATAAAAGCTAGCCAGATTTATTATACTTTATATCACAAAAATACTGATTTGAAGGTTTTACGTAGCATCAGTTTTAAGACATTAGTCCTAACTGCAGATTCATCATCAAGAAACAACGTGATTTTAAATAATTCTCTAACTTTCCAAGTAACGTGTCAGGATATAGAGAAAATTATTCTTTTGAGTTCTTGATAGCAGTGCTATTTTTTATCATAGGCGTATATTTTATATCTGTAAATACGTGTGTGCGTGTGTGTTACATAAATGTATAGGACACTAAATTAACTAATTCCATTCTCCCTAGAAGAAGGCAGGGACTAACTGACTACAAGCCAACAATATTGCTCTTTATCCGTTAGGTTATGTTCATAGTCATTCAAGCAGTACATTAACATAACATTTTAAACCAAGGTAATTAGCTTTACTTTACAGAAATTCATTGAGCTAGAAGTTCACACTCCGTATACTCAAAAACACATGAACTACTTTATGTGAACGCTTTTTATATTCTGAGAGGTAGTAGGGCAGGGGGCTTAGTTGCAGCCTGGCTAGGATTGACGCCCAGCTCTACCACCTACTGACCTTGAGCAAATTACTTAATTTCTGTGCCTCCGTTTCCTCATCTGCAGATAGATAACAGTGCCTTCTTCACATGCTGTGATGCTTAAACAAATTAATACGCATAAAATACCAAGCAGTGCTTTTGCCATGTGATAAGCCTTTTGTAATCATGTACAGAAGCCTGGAGGTTCTCTGACGAGCTTGTGGAATAACAAAGCCAGTTTTTATTGTGGAAGTTATCACTACGGAGATAGCGCTGGCAAGACCGCAGCTAACTGGGAGCAGTGATTGATTTCAGCAAGACTTGAACGAAGGAAACCAGGTAAGAGGCTGCTGCGATAATCCAGGCAAGAAATGATGAGGCTTGAACACTATATGGCAAGCGGTAGTGGGATTAAGAGAAGCAAAAGATGCTGAAGAGATATTACGTATAATACATAGATCTAGATCAGCATTTGGCTACAGGAGTTGAAGAAATAAGAACAGCTTCCAGGCTTGGATGGCATTCTCTTAAGGCAGGATATAGAAAAGGATGAGTTCCAAAATCTCAAGTACCTGCATACATCAAAGAGGAAATGCCCAACAAGCAGTCCACCAGAACTCAGGAAAAGCTGGATTGCAGCAACATCAAACTTAGCAGCACAGGGAATAGTCAAAGTCAAGGAAGTAGATAACAGATTTGCTTTTACCCTTTTTCAATCAAAGGTCTGTTCTGCCCCAGACTGGAGCACATCATCTAACGCAGTTCTGAGCACTGAAGGGAAATCATACTGAAGATGTCAACCTTGAAGTTAATTGCGAAGTTTGCTGCAGACGGCGAATGTTTCAAAGGTAGAAACCGTTTTCTAAGTGATCTGGCTAAGAACACATACACGAGTCCCTGGTGCCACGTTTCCCATCACATGTTGCAGAATTACCAGCAATAGGCCCTATCCTCTGGCTCCTGGGGACTTAATTTCCCTAGAAATTAAACTACCATGGTTATTCAACTTTAGACCTTGTAGGAGGAATCACAGTTATTTCTCTCTGGGGTCTTACTCAGAGCAAGCTATGTGGAAGTGAATAGTCACTAAGGAGGAACAAGGAGAAATAAACAAGCTTTTAGCCAAATGTATGAACAACTCATGTTTAAAAAAACTGGCCAAATTTTTACAAAAATTGTAAATTAGGGACTCTGTACGCTACCCTGTTGTGACTCCTGTACATTGTAATCTACATGAGAATATGTAACCCTCCCGGCTTTTGCTGTTCCCAACACAGAGGTGCATTTCATTATATGCTAATGTCTGCATGTAGGGGTTGAGTAAAGCCTGTTTCAGGCAGGGAGAACACAAAACTAGAAATTAGAACTAGCGCCTTGGCCCAGTCCCGCCAATGCCTAATGCTATGATCTTGGACATGTCTTCTCTGTAGAATAGAGATACCTCTTCTTTGCCCTAATGTTCCAGAATTCTGTGATCAAAGGAATGCATTTAATGAAACTGCGCCCTTTGAAAATTATTTTTTAAGAGGCTTATAAACACAGTCTCCCTGTCATTCAGAAATAACTTTTTTTTTTTTGCCTCAGAAGGCTTATCAGTCAACATTATGTTGAAGTCAGTGTCTTGTTCCTAATCATAATAATAGCCAAACATTTACCAAATGCCTACTACGGGCTTTATATGAGATGCTCTATGAGCTTGCTTTAAATATCACAGCAACCCCAGGAAGACAGTAGGATGTCACCGTCCTTTCACAGAAGGGAAAATTGAGGCTTAGCAAGGTTAGGTGACTTGGCAAAGGTCACACGGCTGGTGAACTGCACTTCAGCCTCTAAACCCAGGTGTCTCCAACCCTAATGTGTAAGTTGCTTCAACTGGTTGTTTTCAGATCTAAAACTGTATTCTGGAAAGAACTCCAGGTGGGGAACACTAAAATCAAACCATTATCATATGTCAGTGTCTCACCATCAAAGTTGAGCCAGAAAGCAGCCTAGTGAATCTGTGCTCTTCCACAGTCTTTGTCATGTTCCCTGCAGTTTGCGTTCCTGATCTAAGCTGTGAGACTGTCAACATGTACCATCATGTGAGACGTCACACACATATGCAGCTAAGTCATATACATCTAAATATTTAGCAAAACCAGATTTCAAGACACTCTAAAATGTACTGCAAAATGTACAGCATTTATTCACATACAGACAAAAAGGCACAAATTCTACTAAATAGTTCAACAGAAAAATACAGCTGTCCTCAACTAGTTTTATAAATACTTTCAAAAAGGGGGTAGAAATAAATACAGGATTGGGCCATGTAATATAAAATAGTCATCTCTACATATACTTTGTTTAATTCTGATTTTTAACTCTTCATGCACCTTTTTTTTTCAACTTTAGCTGAATGGACACCAAGCTAGGCACATAGTGAAAAATCCTCTGTACAAGGTTACAAATGTAATGACAAGTTTGTCCATTTCAAAATAATTAAGATTTGTACACAACACATATAACCCTTCATTTAGATTTTGTGTTTATAACCTAACAAATGACATTCCAGGCAACTTTACAAAAGTTTAACTAGCCTACATTTTGACATAATACATTGATCATAATCAAAGATATTTCTTGGTCAGGATGCACAAGGAAAGATAGATAAAGCTTTAAAAAAAAAAAAAAAGAAAGAAAAAGAAAAACAAGGAGAAGGAGAAAAGAAGAGCAAATGGTTCCGTACTCAGAGTGCAGGTGGGCAGGTTCGGCAGGCTGGTTGCCGCTTGTGCGGCCGCATACAGAGTTCCCAGCAGGACGTGAAACTCACCCACTCACAGAGCTATCATTACACTGTGCCAGAGAAACTGAGCTCTGTACCATTTGCATTTCAAAGCAGGAATCAAGTGTGGGCTTTTTGTTTGGGGGTGTTTTGTTCTTGTGTGGGGTTTTTTTTTTTATTTTTATTTTTTGTTTTGTTTTGTTTTTGGTTCAGCATAACTTGGAACGTTTGAAAGCTTTTCAACCTAAATGTGGGGAAAAAACAGGTAAGGCATTATTTTTGCACAAAACTAGCATTCCTAATAAATAGTGCAAATGAATCTGGTACCTCTTATAATGGTGAGAGGTCATACACTTACTTACTAGAATTAATTTAGATTTTCTTTCTATGGCTTGACAAATTATCCCTCTATATATTCTACTCTCACCCAGAGCTGTTGCTGTAGTCAAAAGATAACTGTAAATCGAGTCCACCTTCTCCTGTATCCAGCAAAAGGTTTTTTGCTCATATGCAAAAAAAAAAAAAAATTTTTAAATTATGCCGAGTTAATGTACAACTTGGATTCATAAGAAACTTCTAGTATCTGTAGCAACAGTTTATCTGGACAACAGTCTTTGAAAAATGAGCCCCGTAGCTCAAAAATAGTCAATCTAAAAACCTGGGTCATTCTTTCCCCTCCCCTGAATTAGCTACTAAAATGTATTCGAAAAGTTAAGACTTGGTTTGAAAATGTCATACATACAATGGGGATGTATCAGATCTACTATTTGATCATCTGATAAAACTTGCATAGCAAGATGGAATTCAATAAGCCTTTTTCCTTGTTGACGATCGTCCGGAAGACTTGAAAGGTAACTACAGAACTCAAAGCATTACTCATTAAGTATCAGAATGTCCCTGCCACATGGAAACAAATGTATAAATGAATCAGGAATCTGAATACTGATATTAACAAACTAAAGGATAATTTAGGGGAAGTTGGGCTTGTTCCAAGTGCCCATAACTCTAAATCTCATTGCTACTTAAACTTTCCTTAAGTTTGATTCACAACTACATTGAATTCCAAAAAAAAAATTAACAGGACCTTAACACTATCCACTGTCTTAATACATAATGCACTGCAGCGAGTGCAAAAACAGAACATTGTACTCAAATTTAATGCTAAATTCATTATTGCTGATAACTTACTAGTTATTGCCGTTTGCAATTAGAAAGTCCAAGTTACGAACTAGAGCTTACAACTCTGACTCCAGAAAACCTATTACACTTCAATCTCTTTCCCGTATAATCTTGGTCAATCAATGGTAAGAGGTTATCGCAACTTATTGCCTTTCTATTTTTTTTTTAAATATAACCTATTTTGCTTTTTTTTTGTTTTGTTTTTTTCATTTTTTTTTTTTTTTTAAAGGAATCTGTTCATGTTGGAAGGCCAGATTCCCCAACATGTGCACTAGTGGTCGGCTCTGGGAAATATGAGTCACCAGAGTCTGGAAGTTCATCACTTGAACTTGAATAGCCATTGTATTGTTGGAAGCCAGATGGCCAGTTTTTGCCAGTGGCCAGCGAAATCCCAAGCTGGCCCAGAGGCAGTGGTTAGGGAAGAGAAAGGTCAAAAGGACTCTGGTAAAGACGGGACCTCAACTGCCCTTTCTCGTAGATGGAACTTTGTAATGGCTTCACTCCCCACCAGCCCTATATCCACAACACATTCAAGGGCTTCCGGCAGCAGGACCTTGCTTACATTTACCCTAAATCTCCAAGCTCCAGCAGCTCTACCCTGTCCCTTCAGATCTTCCAGTCATGACGACTTTTAAATTTTCTCTTCCCTCATCTGCTGTATTTACACATGAATTCCCTAGAGTTACTGAAGCTTCAGAGCTACTGCCCGTACACTATAATGCAACAAAAACAGCCTTGTGGGCCAAAGTATAAATATGATTTCAAGATCCACCACAGTCCTAGAAAATAAGTTTTATGGGCTATTAAATGATATGTGAGCATTTCTCAAGAACCATATCTGATTCTGTATATTCAGGTAACCAAGAGTTTGTGCTTTGGGAAGAATACAGAGGGCAATAAAAACTCATGAGGCTTATTTAAAAGCCCTGCCCTCTTTAGAAACTTATTTCATCCAATTTTAGTGTTTAATTCAGCCTCTAGTCTTAGCAGTGTCTTACGGTCACAATCTAACTCTTGTGTTTCCTCAACAAGTTGCAAATAACACACTTCTCACAACAATGATTTATAAATGACTCAAAAAAAAAAAAATTCAATCTGAATTGCAAGTAAATGTGTTTGTGCAGCTCAGGAGTGACGGGTTTCTGCTCGTCCCCCGTGTCTGAACTCTCGCCTACCCCATGACAAGCCCGTGGCGCTCCCAAGCCATCTCTGCTTCATCAAGAGGCCAAAATGCTTCTCCTGATAATGTCTGTCCTCCTGTTAATAGTGCTGCTGGCATGTATACATTTCTTTTCTGATGCCTCACTCTCTGAGTCACTCATCTCTACATCAGGGACGTACCCGTCATTCTCATTGTCAGATTTCAATTTGCTTTTCGCCCTTTCCTTGGCTGGAACTCGGCCTAAGCCCAAATAGGGGTAGTCTGAGTGCTGGTGGCAGGCCCCCTCGTGGGCCTCTCCCTGCTGCTGCCGTTCCCCCTTCTTTGGAATCCGGAATCCTCCCCAGTTTTTCACTGGGCTAGCAGGTGTTGTAGGCACTTTGACTGCAGTCTGGTTATAGTTTACTTTGATTAGGGAGCCGTTGCACTTGGGCACCATCTCTTTCCTCGTGCCGGGTGCTGACTGCCCCACTCCAGGGGAGGTGGCAGCTCTTGTGTTGTCCACATGCCTCTGGGACACGTCTGTGGACCTGAGAGGCTTGTGACTCTGTTTGAAAGGTCTGTCCTTCAAGTCTCCCTTACCAAGATCACAATGAAAACGATGGTCTCTTCTGTTCCCGTGGTCTGGCATCACCACACCATTTTTCTGTTGTGCTGATATGAGACGTGCTTCTGCAAAGGTCTTTTCAAAACTCAAAAAGCTCTCTGGGACCACCATCCCCTCCCTTCTACTGCACAGGTCTGGCTGCTTTAGCAGGGTTTTGCCTTCACTCCCAGCACTGTTCTGCAACGGATCTCGCTTATGGGGCTTTTTCATCGAGTGAACCAAGGAAGTACCCATTTGCTTCCTGAAGAATGCAGAATGCCACTTCAAGTCCTCTATCTTGGGGGCATCGGGGCCCACAGAAGGGCTGTTAAACAGAAGCATGTTTTCCAGTGACGAGGAGGAAGAAGAAGGTGGCGCACCTACGAACACAAAACCACACGTCAAGGAAAGTTACAGCAGAGGCAAATCCAGAACAATAAAATTCCAGACCCTCAGCAGGACCTTCCCACCCAGCAGTAAAACACACAGCCACCCACTTTGTAAAAGTTCGGTTTTTATAGTAAAGGTATTACCTGCCGTGAAATCTGAATACTCAGTATCCTCTGTTTTCTAAAGCAGCTTTAAGTTCACGTACTTTTTCATGAAACAGTGTCTTTTCAAGGAATACATTTTCCGTCAAACAAAATAAGTGATCTGATTTTCAAATGGGATTCACTGCGGAATCTGTCTTCCAGATTCCGGCTTCCAGCCGGTCTCAGAGCAGCGCCTGCCAAGAGCTGCCACCTGCCACGCCTACAGATGGGGGTGAGGGTGGGGGGGCTGGGGGGGACTGGGGCTTTTAAGGTTCTTTCTCCAAATTATCTGCACCCTCACAGGGCTACATGGCTATGATGAGGATAAATACACGTCAATTGTGAAATGAATAAAGGAAGGTGTTTGAAATCATTCTTGACACAGAGTACATCTGTTTACTCTCGTATGTAAAACCCATTTGTGGAATTAAACTGAATTGCCATCCAACACAAGGATAAGTTAAATTGGTGTTTTTCAAACATTTCTGAGGCAAATCACAGTAAGAACTACGTTTCACAATGTAACCCAGTAAAAGCTCACTTTTCCTGCAATCATATTAGCCTTCATCGCCTGATAGGCACTCTGACAGTTTCTGTTCTATTTCACTTGTTTTAATGCTAGTGATGACCTGCTAAATTCATCTCACAACCCGGTAATAAACGGTAACCCTCAGTTTGAAAAATACAGGGTGAATTCATAACATACTAGAGTTCATCAGAAGGACCACGTTCCTGCAAGAGCCTCCAGAGCATCTACAAAGAGCAGTTTTCATGTTTCCTGAGTTATGAACCACCAGGAAAACAAGGTTCCACCCCAGAGTAGCAGACAGGAGCCCATGTGAGAGCTTAACTGCTGAGCGGAAACGGACACTGCACGAAAACAGAACAGAGCTAGCAACTCTAAACGTAAAATTATCATGACCGTAGGGGAGGGTGTTTTACAATCTGCTGGTTTAGAAATGGCTACTTTCTCAATAATCAAACTCAGGGTCAACCGTCACGCCACACGTATTATTTCTTTTATGCAGTCACCTAATGTGGGAAAATAGGAAGGCAAGAGGGGCTGACATTTTCCGAGCTCTGATTTCTCTCCTGACTCGGGATCCATGTTTCTGAAGGGCCTCTGACTCTCATAAGTATTGTCTCCACTGAGGACACTCATCCAGCAGAAGGGCCCTGCCCATTCTCGGAACCACGGGACAGTTTAAACCATGGATCCTAGTGACACATGTTAAGTCAGGGCCATCTCTGCCTCACTCGGAATCACCTCTCTTACAAGGTAGATCAGTGTGGGGCACGAACGACACAACTGAAAGTCTGAAACTGGGAAGAAGAAAAAAGGCATCCTAAGGGGTTTCCACTTCATTCCCTGGGGCAGTTCACAGGAAGATTACCATTGCTTCCAACCCGTCATACCTAGTGTGGGTCATTCCTCAGAGGGTGGCGAGGACCCCTTTTCCTGTTCTGGAACAGCAGTAGGACTTCTGAACGTAGATCTGCATTACATCTGTTACACAAAACACTTCCTAACCTTGTTAAGAAGCTCAACCACTTACCAAAAAACCTCAGCCACGAAATACAAGGGAAAAAAAAAAAAAAAAAAACTGCAATAACCATGAAAAATGACTCAAGTGAAATCAGATGAAAACGTTCCTTACAGCTTATTTTCATAGGTAATCACTCATTACGTAAGGACTTTTAACAAGAGTCACAGAAAGCCCTCCACTGGCAAAGCTCCACAGACACAACCTGCACTAATGATCCTGGGCAACAGCAGCTCGGCCTCTGCAGCTGGAGGCTGGGTGATCCGCACCAGACATCCCTGGGGTGCGGGTGGGGGCTGCTGTTTACATAAGGACACACCACGGGCAAGGGAGAAAACAGGTCCCCTATTTTATTTGCATTCAAGTAGGAATAATGAAGAGACAGAAGTTCACCTTAAAGAATCTGAGTCAAACTGCTTGTACTTGTGATACCCTAACTCAGAAAAATTTATTTTAAAAGTTTGACAACTCTAAAGTCTAGCTGACGATATAACACTTGATATATCTGGGAAATATTTACTCTTGGGAAGGAAATTACCTAGGATGATATTATTAATACGTTAATGCTATCAAAACAATGTAACACACTTCAAGAATATCATTTAAAACTCCCCAAGCTTTTTCTCTCTTTGTTCGGCTGACCAGTTTGCCTCTGGTCACACATATCCAGTTAGTTTTAGGTAAACCCAGAATGTGGATTTCAACATAATAGGTTATAACAACTTCTTTGTTGTATCTGTGTTTCCTAATCTACAGAGACGAAAAGCCACAGAAGCAGGAGGAAAGAGTAAGCCGGTGGACTCTGCACAAAAGGCAAGCAGTGCAGACACTGCTGCTCTAACTTCAAAGGGCCGCAGACACGAGGTCCCCTAAGACCCGCCTGCTCGTGGGTCATGGTTCTGCCTGATCCGCACTCAACAGACTTCCTCCTCTGAAATCCTTATAACGCCTGCTTTCTGAGGCTTCTGATCACAGAACGCTAGTGCGGAAAAGCACTTCAGAGGGCAGGATTCTGGACCAAACCTCTTACAGACCAACAGAGTCCCGGAGAGGTTAAACAACTTGCCCTCCTATGCACTTGAACTCAAAGTCACTCAAGTGTTCACCGGAGGTGGGGGAAGTCCACGTCTTAGTTTTCTTTTTCTCTTTGCCAGAGCAATGCAACATAGGCAGCACTAAATAAATATGTTGTGCTGAATCTCAAAAGTATTCAAAATTCCAACTACACCAAAATAATCCACTGTGAATGTTATCTAAACATGGATATGTGCCTTAAGTACACATCTTAAGATATATTTACCGTATGTTACAGGTAGATCCGAAGGCTAGATAATTATAAATCTTTTTAGGTATCCCCATGATACTTTACATTTATCAAGTGCTTTGCAATATGTAAGTTACTCTTTCGAGTCTCACAGTAGTTCCCAGGAGGTAGCTGGAGATCTCATCCTCACGTTACATGTGAGGAAACGGGGGAGACTTGGAAAACGTAAGACTTGCTTGTGTTGAGCCTTTAAGTAGCCAGTATAGGATGTGACCCATACATGAGGCCCAGTTCATGGCCCTCTCCTCTAGACCACGGTGCCTCGAGTGCCTAAGATTTTCTTCAACCACAAAAGCCTTTGCTTCTACAGTATAAAAGAAAGTTCAAGAAACTAGCATTGTTTTCCCTTAACAGAGGGCTTACAAACCCCTGCCCTATTGTTTGACCTACCGGGGCTTAATGCATACCTGAAACTCTTTCTTGCTCCAAAAGCTTAGTGTAAAGATTGAATATCTGTTCCTGGACTTTGCACACAGATCGTTTAATCTTTTCCCTGCGGGTCACCATGTAAGTGAGGTTCCGAACCTAGAACGTAGAGAATAAAGATTCTAAGTAAGCAATACATTATAACAGGACTTTGGTGTGTTTCTTTTTTTTTTTCCTCTTTACCTGAGAAAAATTTGTCCTACTAGGTCCTTGAGTGACTTTTGATATCCAAATGTACTTTAAACATTTTCGCTAATCTCTAAGCCTCCCTTTGGGGTGCTAACAAGTATTCTGCGTATACCCCTCAAGGTGGGTAGCAGCACAAAAGAGGCTGTCAGAGGAGGTCCTGCCCCTGCACCACACCTGGCCATAGGCTCCTCTTGGCGAACAGACAGACAGACGCCCATCGGTGTCCAAATCCAAACATGCCAGCTCTTGCCAAAGGACTCTGCTTATCACCCCTCCAGTATCCTCTTCCCATGAATTCTATCGTCAGAGGCTTCAGAGCAGTTCAGAAGCCACCTCTGCTGCACTTTATCAAGCATCTTCTGAAGATGGAACTAGATAAGCATTAGGGTCAAGGGCCATCAGAGGGAGAAGCCCCTCACAAACAATGTCCCCACACAGGGCTCACTAGAAGGCCAAGTAGTCACCAGGAATCCAAGTAAACTTCTTTTGTTGACACTGAACTCTCTAAATTACCTTGGAACTTACAGGTCGCTAATGTGTTCCTACAGCGTGTGAACACCTAGGAACATCCTTCTTGCTTTGCCATTGACTGGCTAGCTCAGCCTCTCAAGGCCAGCTTTCTGTATCACCACCTGAAAAATTGATACTGCCCTCTTCCCGATTCATCGGTCAGTAACCGAGAAGACCCCAGCACTAGGAGCTCCACTTTCCATCTGATGTGCAACCACTGGGGAACTGCATGCAGATGCTCGTTCACCAGTAGTAACCAATCAACACAAAATTTGTTCCCCATTTTCAAAGCCACCTGTGATCAGTCAATACAGAATCAAATTTTAATGACTTAATCAATAAACCCCTTTAAATCTCTCAGTCCTAAAACCTACTGGTAAAACCTGATTAGACTGCATTGGCCTGAAAACACAAACGTTAAATGCAACACACCAGGTAACACAATTAATAAACCTTTCTTCAGGAAGATGTGGACAAGACCACCCCAGTAAGCTCAGTGGCAAGACTGAAAACAGTGACTGCGTATCCCCATCAGCTCGTACACCAAAGGCGTGACTGCACTCTCCTAACGCTTGGGCTATCCCTTCTCCTGCCACCTCCCCCGAAGGTCACTAAACTTCTGGCAGCGAGAGTGGCAACAAGCGACACACACAGCCCTGCATTTTGGCTTATGTACAGATACACCACCCCTAAAGAACCCTAACAATTCCAGCTGTTCTTTCCCAGTTGTGTTCAAGGCAGCCTCCTTTCCAAGAGGACACGAGGCATTAAGAGGAACAGGTCAGCTGGCTTTCACATTTGCATTGTTCACGTTGTAAGTGGTATAATTTCCTGGCCTAAAGCAAGACCACCAAGTCAGGCTTCTCTTGATCCTAACCGATTCACTATTTGTTTAGGATCTTCCTAACACTTCTTGATAAAAATTATCTTAAAGAACTGAGAATAAAACCACTCTTCCAGTCTCAAAGTACATCTTATTTCAGTGTCATTCACCCTGGTTAAAGCACATTCTTTCTCTGACAGCCACACACCCTCAGGCCAGGAAGTAGGTGTCCTTTATAAGAATTCTGACCAGTTTGGGGATGGAGGTAGCTAATAGGCGACCCTCTGATAAATATTGTTCCACCCAGGGGAGATTAAGAGTAGAAGGTCAAAAAGAGGAAGGGGCCGAACCTAGATCCTTATCACAGGCTCAAAACAACTGGAAAACATACAGAACGGTTTTTACATTAAGACAGGGAATCCAACTTGTGGAAATAGGAAATAGAAACAAACTCTCTGACATCCTAGGAGTGGACAAGGTTACTCTCCTATTCAAGTCAGATGTACAAAAGAGATACATCTTTTTTTACTTAAACTTGTCAATGGAAAGAGCAAAGCCAGAGAACCTGAACTTTGCATATTACTCAAATTTAATTTTGGTGTCTTCACTTCCCCCAGGAAAGATTTCCACCCTGGTTGTTAAGTGGGAAAATCCCACTTCCATTCCCCATGATTTCTGATAAGAGACATCTGTGACCCCAAGAAGCAAAGGTCGGGGTTTTCAATTGGAGCAAATCAGCCCCTGAATAAACCAGGCCGGCTGACCACATTAGTATAGTGAGTGCCCTAAACCTTACCTCTCTCATGCACAGAACACCCTAAAGGGCAACTTCCATAAGCAGCCCCTGTACATAGAGCTGAACTGAGGCTCCGTCCTCAACACACACCCTGCTCGGCCCTTCCTGTACACTGCTAGACTGCTAGACCTAACCTCCCTGCCCACCCCCCACCCCCCGCTTCATCTTCTGCCAATTGCCAGCAAGGTGGTACGCAAAACCACCGCTCTCAGCTGCCACCCTCATACCATGTGAAACCCAAGAGTCAGGCTTTCCCCAAAAGCAGTGGTTCCCAAACGAACACGTAGGGGCCCTAAAACACAGAATGCTGGCCTCCAACCCCACCGTTTCTGGAGTCAGAGGTGGGATCCAAAAACCTGCAGGTCACGTTGCTGCTGGTTGAGGACCACGTGCTGAGAACCACTGCCCTCAGGAACTCGATAATGATCTCAAGTTTTCCTGAATCCCAAACATTGCTTGCAACACTAAAACTTAATATGCCTCTTGTTCGGGGACAGCTGTAGCCTGTCAGACTGTCAAGAGGTGACCATTCCACCAAATGTTGAGTAAAATGGTCCCCCAGGACCTGACCCCTTTCCATGCCCCAGGCAGGAGTGCAGAGGTAGCATGTTCTTTTATCTGAGCAAGTACTCATTTGCTGAACTCATGTTTATTGCATCCTTTAGAAGACAATGGGGGAAAGGAATCCCACCAGAGTGAAGTGGCAGCCCTGGGAACTTGGCATGGCACCCGCCATATATCGGCAATCGTGTCTTCAGGTTCCCAAACCCTCCTGAGTCCTTTCCTGTCATCTAACTTTCTGATCCAGAACCGGAACCCGGGTGTGCAAAATGCCCCACGGTGTATATCTGCGGGAAAGAGCCACTACCGTTATCACTCAGAGAGTTGTCTGCCTCTCTAATGAAGGGTACTCACTTGTCAGTTCTTAAGTGACCACACGCCTTGATCACAGTCCCACATATTAACCTGCTACGAAATGCTGTTGTGTGAACTGGGCTGGACTTTAAGTTACTTGAAAAACAGACTTATGATTTATTCTTATTGTCACCCCTGCCCTGATGAGTCTTTGGCCTAATACACTTCTTGTTTATAGTCACAAATAACTGTGCACTCTGGGGCACGGCAGCCAAGATTTCCACTTTTTAAAGCCTCCACCATCGCAGGCCTCATGGAACGTTCTGGAAAACACATTTTTCATTTTAATAAGCCCGTTTTAGACTGACGCTAAATGCCCTCAAATCTCTTAAGACTCTTTAATAAAGTAAATATAAGTAATACCACACACACAAAAATCCTGATTTATTCCCTGTTTCTCATACATCATTGGCATCATTCTACTTAAAACGCAACAGTGATGACTCCAAAAAAAAAAAATGTTTAGAATTTAATCATAAGTGCGTGTTAATCTGAGTAACTTAAGTACAGAAAAGAGTTAGTACACCACAAGCATTTTCTACACTTTTATTTTGTGGTGATTGCGAGACAAACACAGTCCAAACATTAGACTTTTCGTCCTCCCTCCTGAGGACTATCTGACTCCACAGCTCATGCACCCCAAGTACAGCAGTTGTCAGGTTGGGTTAAGGCTTCTCACCAGGATTCGAGTTTCTCCCTTCTGAATCCCCTTCTCATCTCTTAACAAAAAGGCCACACATACATGTGGTTGAGAGGCGAGGTCTTCTTTACACTCACCACCGGGGTGGGGGGTGGGGGGCACGGGAGCACAAGAGCCTCACACACCCTCTTTCCGCCTGGCCTCTGCCTGAACCCGCCTGAATCCGCCTGAATCCGGAATCTTAACCTGGTGCCTGGAAGGGATGTCACAAGCAGCCCGCACTGTCAGGTACTCAAAGGGTCTCTTCTAAGGAACACTTACAAACACTCTCACTGCTACGCCTTCTCTATCAGGGCAGTGCAGGGCTCTGTGAGAGCTCTCGGTCTTTCGGTTCCACACTTCTCCCCTGTCCCTATTCTTTGCCTACACTCCCGCTGCAAATCACCTCTGAGTCAGATTCTCTCCCAGGCAGGTGAACCACCGCCCCCATTAATAAGTCAGGCGCGGGCTTCCCTGGTGGCACAGTGGTTGAGAGTCCGCCTGCCGATGCAGGGGACGCGGGTTCGTGCCCCGGTCCGGAAAGATCCCACATGCCGCGGAGCGGCTGGGCCCGTGAGCCATGGCCGCTGAGCCTGCGCGTCCGGAGCCTGTGCTCCGCAACGGGAGAGGCCACAGCAGTGAGAGGCCCGCATACAGCAAAAAAATATATAAATAAATCAGGCGCTGGGGGGAGACGCGTTAACCGTTTCAAGCCACTTAGGTGCCTTTCAGCACGGGCTGCTTTGGGCCCGAAGCCTTAGTTCCATCTGTGCACTAATGAATTTAATCACTGTCGGCAGTCGGGGCAGTCAGGGGCGCTGACGCGAGAAAGCCCTCTAAGACACATCGCCGACTAGCAAGCTTCAGTCAGAGACTACCTGCAGGGAGGCGGCAGCCCTGGGGAAAAGCCAGCCCGCTCCTAGAGTTATGCCTGTAGCCGGAAGGGAGGTCCAGACTGGGACTCCAGAGGTACCGGAGAGTGGGCGAGACACCAACCAGCCAACACCTGCAGGAAGGTGCCACCAGCTGAGGCTCCAGGCAGCCACGGGCCACCACGCAGGCCAATCCAGTGGTGAGGGCGTTCGCAGCGCACCGCGCGGGACGGGGCGCTCCCCGGGTCAGGTCGGAGGCCCCTGTGCACCAGGAGTCCTGCCCCACGCCCACTCTAGACACAGCACACAGACACACACGGACACAGACACACATGCACACACAACATATACACAGCCTGAGTGATGACTTAGCACCTCACTGCCGGAGTACCCTGGGGAACAGATATGCATGTGTATGGCAGTTCATGCCCCCACATCAGCACCCACAGCCTGCTCTGCTCGGCGACTGTACCAGGAAGGCCCCCGCCAGTTAGGCGAGAGGCAGAGCTGGGTCAGAGAGGCAGTGCTTCCCTCTCCGTAATGAGCCCGTGACCAGCACCTAGAAAGTGTTTCCCCAGGTTCAACAAGAGACTGCCCTACCTCCGCCCGCCCCACCCCCTCACCGTTAATTAAATCCACTCTGGTTTTCTAACTCAGTTTGTAAACAATTCTGAGCCCACCCCTTGGGCATCTTCCTGGGGGGCTCAGTTCCCTCTAGCTCTAGAATGAAGGGGGTCGGGGGAGGGGAAGACACACCCCATTTGATCTTCCAGAAGAACAGTAAGAACTAACGAGGAAGTGTTTAAATCAGAGCGGCTCCCCGGGCTCTGTGGCCGTCTTGTGTGTGTGCACAGTGAGTTTACCAGCCCATAAATAGATTCAACCAACACAACCTCATGCTGAAGTATGTACAAGGGTCTGAGAGGAAATGCACTGGCTACCACGCCTTGCTCTGGGCAAGCGGTCGCCTCTTTGCAATCTTCTTCTCTACGTCACCACAAGGTGTCAGTGTCGACCATTACCCTCTCCAGGTCCTGCCGCAGGTGCGTGAACAGCTGCAGCCTCCTGAACAAGACATCCTGCTCCCGCTTCGCGAGATTGTCCTCTTCGTCCTTCTTTGGGGTGATCAGTGGCTTGTTGAAGTTGACCTTCCTCTTCAACTTCCAGTACTGGTACAGGAAATCCACGACCTCCTCGGGCAGCCGCAGGGCCCTGGCAACATCCAGCAGGTTGACGAAGGTGTAGAACTCATCCTCCAGCTGCTGCAGCTTTTGCTTCCGGACACTCACCCGGTGGGCCTCCTCCTGATTCTGCTCAAGGCTGCCAAAGGGCTCCAGCGGATCCCGGGGGGGGCACTCAGGGGCCCCGTTCTCCCGAGCGGCCCCCTCACCGAGGCTCTCATCGGGCTTGCGATGTGAGCTGTGCTTTGGGCAGTAGGACTTGAACTTGACTTCGTCGTTCTCGGCCAAGATGGTCTTCATCTCCAGGCCCCGGTCGAAAGCACAGGTCACGTGAAAGGCTGTGCGGCAGTTCTTCACAGAGCACTGGCAAGAACACACAGACAGCAAGAGGAGAGAGATTAGGAAGTGACAGTGACTGAAGCCCCGGGTGCCAGGCACCCCCTCCCTACACACGCACAGGAAGAGCTGCGCTTGGAGCTCGTGCCGGGACAGAGAAGCTTCACGCGGATTAACCCTGGCAGATCCAGTCGTGTTTTAAACAAGCTACAGCTTGGGATTTAAGGGAACTCTTTTTTCATAAACCGAACCATAACTCTCCTAGAAAAGCAACTGCATCCAATAATCGCCTCTTAAAGCAGACACAATCATACAGATGGCACGTGTAGACAAAGGGGGCCCTGGCACTCCGATTATACTCAAAAGAACGTGTGCCCAATATGCAGGGTATATTCTGAGGCATTCATTTGTCTCTTCTTATAGGTCTGGGCTTTTTTAATGTTTATATAAAAAGCCTGAGTGGTGAGAATCTCCTCAGGAAGAATGACCACTAACCAGAGTTTTTAAAGGAACGTGGATCCTCATTTCTAAGCCACAGCCAGGACGAGTCCCAACACCAGTGGGAAAATAAATGGCACACTCCTCCAGCAGTGAGGGTTGCTCAAGACTGAGGAGGGTGAATTAAAAACTCCCAAAGACTGGAAAGGAAGAGACCAGGACAATCCAGGACAGGAAGGACGGGACTGGTCTCCACACCCGAGGAAGCTCAGCCAGGTGCAGAGGCTTCCAGGCCAGTGGGGGACAAGCTCTGAGATCTGTGTGTGCTCCACCTGGCAGCGCGACCGTGAGGGACCTGCTGCTTGTGGGTCGAAGGAAGGTCAACGTAGAGGCCAGGCATCACCCAGCTCTGCCCTGGCCTTACCAAACACCTCCCCCCTCCCTCTCACCGCCCACCAGGGGAACCCCATAGTGCCTCTGATCCAGAGGGCAAGCCAGAGGCCTAGCAGAAAAGTGATTTCTCCCCATCTGATCTTGCTAGGCAAATTCCTGGAAGGAGGCTCCCTGTGGTGACTGAAGCCAGTCCCTTAAAAAGCAATACTGTATTGTGTGAGGCCAAGGGATCCAGGCACGCCAGGGCTGCAGACAGGAGCAGAACTGAGTGGCCCCAGACCAGCTGAAAAGCTTAATTAATTAAACTCATTCAGTAGAGCCCTGCACAGCACCACCACAGATCACAGCGGCGTGGGCTGGGGCTTCTTCCCCTAATCGTTGCAGTCTTTAAGGTGACTCACTGCCAGTCATGATTTCTTCCATTATTAAAAAGTCACTTTTACCCAGAAGTACAGAAAATCTAGCTCCCTTCACAGAAAATCAATTCCCCCACTGAAAACACTTAAAGCACATGAACTAACATAAATCTGTAATTTTATCTATAATAATAACCTCAATTCCAAGGAATGTGTGAAATCAGCTTTAGTGACAGCACACACACACACACACACACCTGGTCACTATCAGTACACACACATACACCTGGTCACTATCAGTACACACACACACACACACACCTGGTCATTATCAGTACACACACACACACCTGGTCACTATCAGTACACACACACCTGGCCACTATCAGTACACACACACCTGGTCACTATCAGCACACACACCTGGTCACTATCAGTACACACACACACACACACACACACACCTGGCCACTATCAGTACACACACACCTGGTCACTATCAGTACACACACACACCTGGTCACTATCAGTACACACACACACACCTGGCCACTATCAGTACACACACACCTGGCCACTATCAGTACAAGACAAAGTGCTCCTCCCTCCTAGCAGGCAGCCAAGTGGGAACAGATGACGGAGACACTACCAGTGTTTGGCTTAAACGACACTTCAACTCAGCGCCCCAACCTGAAAAGAGGAACTCGCCACGGCAGAACATTTATACGGGGCTTTGTAAAGACGCCAAATGGCCTTCCTCTGGGTTTTCCTATTCAGGTTGACTCAGCAAACAGATGTTACAGAAACGTAAGCCAGAGCCTTTCCAGCTGCAGACATTTCAGACAGGAATTCTGTAATAAAATCAGTCTATTCTGTGAAGATATGAAAAATCATCAAAAACTTCCTTGGCCTCTCCTCCTTCAAATTCATGTTCTGGGAAAAAGGTCAACGGCAACAAAAAAGTCATTTTATCGTCTCTCTTCAAAAGAGACACAGAGATCCCAATCGACCGCCTCCTGGAAACATCAGTGAAGGACCTACTCAGTAAAGGGCGTAATTTCTATCCTCAGAAGAACATCGGGTAACTTGGAAGAAAACGATTTCCATTTTCCTTGGTTTGCCCGAGCCTGTTCCCTGCAAGTGTTCGCACGGGCCGTCTGCGTGCGCACACACGCGCGCACACACACACACACACACACACAGCTCTGTGTCTTTTTATTTTGTGGCTTTTAAAACATTTCTCCTTCACTCCCTCCTAACACAACGCTCAGGCCAGAGGCTTTTGTCATGTTTTAATTTTAAGCAGATTCCATTCACATACAAAAATCTGCACTATTTTCAAGGTCCACAGCCAAATCCCACCAGCTGTCTCATGCCTCACCCTCTGAATATTTTGTTACATTTTGGATTCTTGAACACCAGTGGAAGTGATAAGGAAGAAAAAGCACAACAGCTTGGCGTGTAAAATGAAAACTTTTAAAAAGAAACACCAGTCAGTGGATACCTTACAGAGAGGAATATTTATCAGCCAAAATACAAGTTGAGTTTGCCAAATGAGGTCATTTCTTTAAAAGCCCCGACTGGCAGTTTGACCGAGTTTGTGGAGTGAGAGACAGAGAGAGAGAGAGAGAGAGAGAGAGAGAGAGAGAGAGAGAGAGAGAGAGAGTGTGTGTGTGTGTGTGTGTGTGTGTGTGTCTGTGTGTGTGCGCCGAGCCGTTGCGTGTCCTGCATCAAGAGGGCAGCCGCCCCAAACCAGCACCTCTGCCCACGGACTGTGACGTGGGGACCAAGGAGGAGCCGGCGTCCCTGAGCTGGCGGCCCCACAGAGGCAAAGGGCCAACGGCAGCCACAGACAGCATCTGGAGACAGCACCTCAGGCCTCCGAGGTCACGCCTGTCTAGACGCCAAAAACGTGAGGCCCGGAGAGGAACTTCTCAGGCAGCGCTTTAGACAACACCAGGAAAGAGCGCGCCATCAACAGTCTCTCCGTGATTCTGTTATCTGCCTCATGGCTGTCTACACCTGCCTGTACGTGGACCCAGAAAACGCGGGCCGGCTTCTTACGTACAAGCTCCCCTCCCCCAGCCCCACCCTCCCCCACACTGTACTGTAAAAAACTCAGATATTCAGACTGGGCAGAACCCCTGGTGCAGCACCTCATGGGTGTCCCTCCCCCTGCCACCTCGGTGCTCCAAGGAGTCCCCGTTTTGCCAAATGCAAAAGGGCTGGCGTGCCAAGCTGATTTCCAACAGTGCGCACCGCACCAAGACACCCCACGTGCACACCTCTGAAACCAGCGGCGTCGGGGGCAGCCACAGAGGCAGGGCTGCCGCTCGGCAGGCGAGAGGGTGACTGAGCCTCCAGTGCCGAGACTCCAGTTCTTCCCCAGAGCTGTCGGCCTGTGGAAAGAGCTGCAATGCCAGGCTTTGGGCAGGGAGGAAGAAACCAGATACAAACTGGAACTGCCCTGCAGCTCAGGCGGACTTCTGAGTTGCCCTGTGATGGTTACAGCTGGGGTTCCGGTCACACTGGACACTATCCACCAATAAAAGGTGTGTATACTGGGCTGGAGACGTCCCTCAGCAACCTCAGAAGGGCTGTGAGAACCTCGTCCTGCTTCCTGGATTCTAGTCCCATCTCCAAACCCTGTGACGGTTAGCTCACAGGGCCCTCCCCCGTCCCGCTCCCTGGAACACAAGGAAGGGTAATAATGCCATCCTGACTAGGCTGGTTACCTGTATGGAGGCCCCAAACTTCTCATTGCAGAGGCTGCACACCAGCGCCCACCGACTGCTGGGGATGTGAGACACCTTCGTGATGGGCTCCATCTTCTCGGGGCTGCCAATGCTCACCTGGAGGCCCAAGAAATAACAAGACAGGGTCGTCAAGACAGGGGCCGAACACAGACAGCAGCAACTCAGGAATCCATTCCTTCCCCACGGCCCTCCTACCAGAGGGTGCCAAGGGGCACTCACCCTCCGAGCACAGGTAAAACCCCACTTGAAAGCATCAGGACAGCACAGGGGCCAGCTCTGGGCCAACTCTACGCCCTCCTCGGGGGGGGGGGGG